TTTATTGGTTCCGCTATCGGGACGGAACCAATAATGACGAGTTGTCAATTTTAAAGTTTTATTTAGATTACAAAAATAAACCGTAATAAAAACAATCCTATTTATGATGTTTTAAAAATTTAGACCTACGAAAGACTGATTTAAGACATTTTAATACCAATTAAGGCCTTAGTTTTATTTTGAAGGATTCAATGGCTTTTAAGACTTTTTAAGGACCCGCAGGAACCCTGTTCAATGAGCAACATGTGGTCTGCAGGCAGCTCAGCTGGGACGTGAAAATCTAACATGGACTCTGCAGGTCAACATACAGCAACCGCTTGTTCTTCACTAATACACACTGATTAGGAACCAACATTTACAGGAAGTAGGAGACCTTAGCAGCTCAGTTAAAGCACACGCCGCTTCACAAACTATCCATCACCACAGAGTCAAAGCTGTTTATGACAGTTGAGGTCACATCCAGAGACGCTCCGGTTTCAGCCTCCCAAACATGATCCTGTCTCACATTGTGTTCAGACTCAAACTTTTTAGTAAACATCTCTGAAATGAGTGAAATTAACTAAAACACCAGAGAGGCTGTTTATCCTCCACTCGTTTTATTTGTTGATCATAATTAAAAGAAGCCAGTACTTTCATAATCGTCACTGTTTGGGAGCAAGTTAGAACTTGAATCAAGAATTTAGAAATATGGACCAAACTTCCCCAGCAAAACTCAATAATATCCCTTAATACCAAGAATAAAAAGGCTTATGCTTTGTTACCTAATCCATTGTGCTGCTCATTATTCATTTCTACTAAAACAGATCCTTTGAGACGTCTCCAGCACGGCCTTATCAGTGGCAGATAGAAACAATACAACATTTGCAGACAGATAGAAAGTGAACAGACTGAGACGGAGCTGCTCTGACCCAAAATAAACCCTGGATCCTGGAGAACCGTCAACACGGATGCAGACTGACAGCACCAAATGCCACAAGCTACAGCAAATGTTTTTCATCCCCTTCTTCCTCCACCATGCTTTCCTAGATTTTTTTATGGCAATTATTCATTTCAAATAATAACACTGAAAAGTTATTAAATTGTAAATAAGCTTTAGGGCAGTATTGGAAAATCTAAAAGCAAAAAAAACTGTAGCAAGACTTTAAAAATTGAAATCCAAGTATTTTTTTCTTGTAATAAAAGTAATTTTGCCTTGATTTGCACAGGTAAGAAAAGTAGACAATGGAAATATAGTTTATGTTTTTTACCCTGTAAGACACTGGTGACCTTCGCCTATAGTAAAGCACTTTGCATTGTCTTTGTACTGAATTGTGCTATACAAATAAATTTGCCTTGCCTTGCCTATAGAGTGATGGAGATGGGCATCAACCCCAACATGCCCTGATGGATAAGCAGGAGGAGATGGGTGAATGGATAGTTTTAAGTTTCTAAAAATAAAAAAACAACACAATTTTCTTATTTTTAATGCACCATATATAATTATATAATTTTAAGAATAAAAAAACTACATTGCTATATCATCTCATTTTAACCTGTTTAAACTAGGGGCAAATAAAATGATTCTAAGATATTTCTACCAAATATTTTAGACTAGATATTGCATTCTGTCATATAGACTCACTAAAGACTATAGTTTAACAAAACAACATTTTCACACTGCAGAGGTACTCAGTCTTGGTCAAATTAACAAGTCCAAGAGACTTTTTCTTAATCCTGCACTGTAGGTGGTGGTGATATGTTTAAAGTGGGTTTGCTGCCACAAAAATAATGGAGAAACTTCCAGCTAGCATTAAGCACTTTTCCAAACAACGGTTATTGAAAAATTCCTTCAACAATTAACTTTGGACAAGCAAGCTTTAAAAGCCAGGAGTGAAAATCGACATACTTGTCCTTAGTGCAAAGGAAAATCAAAATTAAGTCGCAATCGCAATATTAGCTGAAAATAATCGCAATTTAGACATAGAATGAACTTTATTTATCCCTTGGGATTACTTACTCCTTAAAGGGAAATTCTGGTTCCAGCAGCTTATATAGAGTACAAAGAGTTAAAGCAAGATTCCATTAAAGATAAAAATATGACAGATAATATAAAAGAGTGTAGATAAAATTCAGATTTTTGGCAAACTCACTCAGCTTCAATAAAAAAAAAAACCCGTGTTCTAATAAAAGGCAAATAGTCTTTGTCTATGAACCCAAGAATGCAGAGGAGGGAGGAGATAAATATTTACCAAGAGAACCAACAGGTTAGCCTGGCGCGTCGCCTCTGTGTGACATGAAGGTGTGGCCATGTTGGAATTGTCATTTATAGCTGATGTGATTCATCTAGTATCTCAGGTGAGGCCCTATAGCTCAGTGGTTAGAGCACTGGTCTTGTAAACCAGGGGTCGCGAGTTCGAATCTCGCTGGGGCCTTTCCCCTTTTAACTGTTACCACCATCTCCTTTTTGGTCATTCAGATGTGAAGCTTTCTAATACACCTCAGTTCTTATTGGTTTCCCTTTTTTTCCTCTAATTATCAGCTGTTTTTCTTCTCCATCCCTTCCAGCATTGAGCTTTGCTCTGCAGACCAAAGCCACCCCTAATTACACTCACTGTCATCTTCCAGCCTGACAGAATAACAGCCCTGCAGAATCAGCCCTCAAAGGCGACACTGGATCATTTGTTCTTACAGACATTAGTCCTCTGCACAGACAAAAGTCACCTAAAACCAACCAAACTAAACTTTTTTCATTCTAATAAAATGCTCTGGGTCATTCTAAGCAGACACTGCTGGAGACCATGGACACATTCTACCGTTTGCCAAAATCCTCACAGACCATCTGTTTGGAGGCAGCCGGAAATTCCTGCAAGCAGAGAGACTGATTAAATCAGGCAAACAAGAGCAGTTACTGATAACCCCAATGTGGTGTTTAGAGGCTAAACACCACATTTTCCTATTCTTATAATCAGCAAAGAACATTGAAAAAGATGTTTTCTTTTTTTAGAATATAGGATTAGAGAAAAATACTCCTTCTATTTGGAAATAATCTTATTTATTTGCACAAATTACTTATTTCTAGATCCTTTTTTGCATTATGTATAAATACATGTCTTATTGAGCTCTCTACATGTCCCAGGCATTATTTTTGATAATTTAAATAACATTTGTTGAAATCCTACTTTTGCGTGTGAAATGTCAATTTTTTTTCTCACTCCTCAGATCAAAAAGGTTACTGATTTGTGTTTTTACTTAGCCGCAGCATTGCCTTTAAGCGGAATTCTTGCAGTATTTGTGCTTTCAAGAACATCTTGGAACGCGACGGCTTCAACGGTTCTAGATACAAAACAGGTTGGCCAATCACATTGCAGTATTAGTGTTTAAGGCGGGGCAAAGAGCTGTGATGAAATCAAGAGCAGAAGTAGTCCCAGATTAGGCTGGGTTGCTGGGTTATCTTAGCCAAGGACATGACGTAATATAGCAGAAGGGGTCGGCTGTGATTGGTCAAAAGAAGTGAAAGAAAAAAAAAAGTCATCTTTAATCATCAGTGTTTAGTTTGGTTATTTATTGATGGTCCCCATAAGATGTACCTTAAGTGGGAGGAGGGAGCGACCTCACACAATCTCTAAACCTCTTTCCCTCCGTTTCCAGTGAAAACTGCTGTGAGAAATCCTTCGCCCCATCCGACCAATCAGTTATAAACCTGTAATTGCTCCGCTTGCCCCGTTTATGTCACTATAAAGGCTAGTGTGGCGCTGTCAGTCACAGGCACAGTTGGCTTACGGCCATACCGTCCTGAAAACGCCTGATCTGGTTTGATCTTGGAAGCTAAGCAGAGTTGGGACTGGTTAGTATTTGGATGGGAGACCGCCTGGGAATACCAAGGGCCTTTTGGGGGGTGGTTGCCTAGTGGTTAGAGGCATGAGCTTGGAGTTCTGAGTTTGAGCCCCACTCCCACAGACTGCCACTCTGGGTCTCTGAGCAAAGACCCTTAAAGCCACACAGCTCCCTGCGCACTGCACCATGGCAGCCCACTGCTCCCCAGGAGGATGGGTTAAATGCAGAGAGTTTATTTCGTTGCTCTGTACTTGTGGCAGCGTAATGACAATAAAATGCAGGGGGGAAAAAAATAAATTACCCAACCCCTCCACTTTATTCATGTCTTTAAAATAATCTAATCATAATTAATTTCGATGGGTAATAATTCAATCATTCATTCTGCAATAAATCACATATCTGTCATGTTTTCTTTCACAGAAAAGCAGAGATGATCCGAAATTTCAAAACAAGGTTCAAAACTGAACTTAATTGATATCGTAATCATCACCAAGCAGTTTCTTTATTCAAATAAAAAACTAATTAATTGCATAAAAAAACAGCTTTCAGGCAATAAAACCCTGGTCTCCCGTATGTCTCAGATTAACAACAGTTGTACTTAATGTAATCTAGCATGCAGCCTTTGTCATGTTAAAAAACTCTGTTTGAGGAACAAAAAGGTTTGAATCATTATTCAGATAATAAGCAGAACATCTGACACCGACTTAAAAGCGAACTTGACACCTCAGAACTGGAAGGAAAAAAATGGTGAACGTCAAATGAAATGGCAAAGCTGTTTAAAATGACACGGCTGACCTCAAACTAAGGCTCTGCTGGATGATGCTAAGCTGAAGAAAAAATGAGGAGGGGGAATAAACTTTGAAGTGTTCCTGTTGCCAGGCAACACAACAGAGCCAGAAATGGGGTTGATTTGGAGTGTGCTGGTAGGGGCAAATTAGAATATTGGCTTATTTTTTACCAACAAACACACACCTAGTGTGAACAGGAAAGGATACACTCCCAGGATGACGGCCTCCAGGCATTTGATGGGTAGAGACTCCCTGATCATTTCTCTTGCTGTTTCCATCAACCTGCAGAAACAGGAAGTTGAGGAGACAAGAATGAGAAAGTGGAAGTCAAAACTCCTTCTCTGCATACTTCTCTGCAAACAGAGAAGTGTGAACAAGTGGAATGGTAAAGGAGTAGAATGATGGGAAGAAAATACAAAAACAAACAGAGAGCAAAAAAAAAAAAAACAGAAGTGAAAATAGGAGGGAGGAGAATCCAGGGACAGGATGGGGTAGGAAACCAGGGCTGTTTATCTCTAAACATTTATTGAGAGCTTTAAATGAAATGCAAACATAAATATCCATAATAATGGCCAAAACTTGGTAATGACTGACTGTAAATGTCTTTTAGGTTTAATGTTATAAAGAAGATATACTGTGACGTCACAACAGGTCAGAGTTAGCCAACACATGAGAGTGAGGAGGAACCAGCCTCCTTAAAATCCATAATAGCGGGCTTTAAGCCAGAAATGAGACAGAAAATAAAAGTTTAAATAAACTGAAACCCAAGGGTCCAGTTAGTGGCTGATGATGAAAGTTCAGCTTTTATTTCTTTAACTTTAGGTAATTTTCCACCTCAGCTGCAGCAGGAAGGTCATAGTCTACATAGAAAATGGATGTTTCTACCAATACATCCAGTCAATGATGTTAGGAGCTTCAGATCCAAGCTTAAAAAAATCTAACATTATCAGAAGAGACTGGAGATCAATGTGAAGATTTAGCATGTCTCAGACATAAAACATGTTCAGACACCCTGCTGTCTCTGCTATTCACAGTGTTCTGAATCCAAACATCCACCCTAATAACTATATAGGGCACTATTAAAAAAGCTTCATATTCCTCTTCTATTGGTTTGGTTTCCGGATAGACTAGTGCGAGTAGCGCCATCTCACTGCGGAGCCGAGTCCGACATGGTTTTTAGACGTACAGTGTGAGCGTCGGGTCGAACAGTGTGAGAACAAACATCGTGAGCTGTGAACTTTTAGACCCTGCTGTTTCGTCGTACAGTGTGAAATGTAGCTGCGTGCAACGATTGAAAAATTCATACAGTGTATGCCCGGCTTTAGAGATCAGACTCCTCTGGATATAAAGCAGCTGCTCTACTCTGGGGCCTCCCTAGAAGGCCGAGCATCTCGCCTGGCCTGGCCAGCCAACAGGATGGCTTATCTGTGAGATCTATTTCTTTAGCACAATGGCTATAAAGCTCAGTCTGACAAACTCCGGCTCCATTCTCTTCTCTGAGATCCCAGAACTCTTCTACTATGACTAGAACAGAACCAGGAACCTTAGCTGCAAATCCACTCACCCGCACAGAGGTCGGCTCTTCTTGATCTCAAAGAACTGGGTTCCAGTGTGGTTGTATCTGACATGAAACATTAAGGTCTACATGATTTTTTTTTAGCATTTCCCTGAGCCTGCATGGGTGCAACACTAATATTTGATCATTAAATTGACTTTCAAACGTAACCAGAGAATGGGGGGGGGTGATGAATACTTGCTATTTAGGATGTAAATGATGTGGTGCTTGTTGCAAAGGATACTGCAGAGCCTTCATGTAGTTCTGGACGGCCACCAACCAATCAGGGACGGACATGGATGGTTTGAAGGTTGGAATGGAGGGGACGGGATGCTGAGAAAGAGAGAAAAAAAGAAAAGCAGACATGGAAAATTATTTATAGCAAATTAGCAACGGGAAACTTTCAGACCTGTTCCCCCATCATTAAAGCCCTTTGATTCGTATCTCCAAACTAATCAGAGAGAGTTTTATCAGACTGCCTAAATCCATCCTACTTTCTTTTCTTTTTTATATCTACAACTTTAAAGAAATGAAAGCAGAAAATCTGTAACAAAGCAATTATGAATGAGAGGTTAAAAAATATTAATTTTCTTCCAAGAAAATATTTATGATCAGAGATACACAAAAAAAACTGAAATCACATTTTTAATCATCTAATTTAAATGGGACCAATTTTTGACTAAAGCAAAGATATTTATATTATTGTCAATTAATTCATAAAGCATATTTAACACTGCATTAGATGGAGCAAAGCAATGACCAAACAAAAGTCAAACAAGGAAATGAAACACACAAATAAAACAATGTAAAGAGACTAAATGAGATGTTGAATAAAATACAATAAAAACAGTTAAGATAATTAGTCTAAACAGAGAACTTAAATCAGAATATTAAAGCATCACAAAAAACTGAAAACCAAAGAGTAGAGAGGTTTTCTTCCAGCCGTCCGATGCACCAGTATTCTTTATCGCAGTGGTTAAAGTTCAGCAATGTTACTCCAGAAACAGCAGAAAGACATGAGCCCCATTTACACGACCCCTTTGAAACCGTGCAGAGATCGGTCCGAGCACGGTAACCAAGGTAACTGCTGAGTGTAAATGGAATGCAGAACTGAACCAGACCGCGCCACACACAACCAAACCGCTCTAACATGGTACTAGTTCATCAGTAGGGCTCGGCGCGGTTCGGTTCTGGCTCGGTTCTCAGATAACAAAGAGCTCAGGAGCAGACCGCTTTCAACTTAAAATATCTTACATTTCAGATATTCATAAAAATACTAGCTTCCCTACCGTGCCACACCATTTCCAGTGGTGATTCTGCTTAGCAGTGTGATGAGCCTCAACGCCGGCCGTTGTTTCCTGATTCTGTAAGCCCTGATAAGACTATTGTTTGTCGTATCCACTTCCCAACAGCCAACTCTGTCAAATAAATTCACCAACGGCTGCCTTCTTAGCCTAGCCTGATAAACCAGACTAAATGTGAGCTTAAATGTGTAATTTAGTCTGGCCCCAATGAATGAGACACCGGAAGATTGATCAGGAACCAGTTTTGCGCGGATGACGGCCGGGGGGGGGGTCAAAATGAATACATAAAACTAAATCCTATCTTAATTTGTCAGAGCACAACCTAACCAACCAGAGGGTGTCGCAATTCAGTGTTATCAGCCGTAGAGTTATCAATGCTGTTTTAAGGTCTGGGCCTGACAATGAATTGGTTTTTTTTGGAACGTTGACGAGGCAGTACCGTGAGTTTGGCGAGGCGGCCAAGATAGTGCTGCGGGAAACGCTGCACTACTAACATTACATTATCACACCGTACTCTCAGTCACTCAGTAACTTAAGGCATTTCTCAATTCACGAGAACGCAAGTACGTACTCGCGTTCTCGTGAAGTCCGTTCTTGGCGAGAATGCAGGAAGATCGGACTTGACGAGAACGCGAGCACGCAAGCACGTATGTGTATTGGAACAGAAGCGTACTCGTGACGTCATCACATGCAACGTTCTTTAGAATTTCTTTAACAGTCAAAACTATTTATTCCCTACACAAAACATTTTGAAAACAATATTTTTAATTTCTAAAGCTTAAAAAACATTTTAAAAAATTACCGAACCGCAAAAAACCGCCATCAGAACGAGCGGTAGTTCACACATAACTAGACCGAGAGAAGTGCACTACAGACGGGGTAACATTAGCCCTGGCTGCGGTTACCCTCGGAGGTCTGCTGGTCACTCTGGTCCGCTCAACATCGGACTTTTTTTTTAAATTTCGCACTAACTCTGTAAACAGGCCACACAGGGAGGCTTCAATGTATAATGTTATCGCCTCAAACGATTTCAAAACGTACTTTTGAAGAACAACAGCAGCAGAAAAGGGAATGTTTAACTTAACACTGTGAGCGCTGTCTCGAATCAAGCTGCGGCCGCGGGGCATTCTGCGGAAGCGGTCAGTATGAAGAACGCACAAGTCTGCTCTGATGCATGCTCGATAAAGAGGGCGGGGCGAGAACAACATCCGGGGATTTGTTGCGTTCTCGATCTGGCGTTCTCGAGAATTGGAACGGTACTCGGGCTGAGGCTGATGACGTGTCACGAGTACACGATAACGCTCAAGAACGCATATTGAGAAAAGCCCTTAGCCTGTGAATTCCTAGCTAGCAGTTACTAGCGTAAACAAATAGGCGCTAACGTTAACGTGTACTAGGCTACTTCAGTAGGCTTACTTAAAAGTCTATTACTTACTCTTCATGTGACTCGACACATCTTTTTTGCAGACTTTACAAGAGGCAACTCGTGGGGTTTGTCCCCATTTAATCCATAATTTGTATTTTTCATCTTCCAGCCAACGTTCATTGAAACGACAACCTCCCGGCATGGTGAGGTAGTGGTTTCATGAGGGCGGAGTCACACATGGAAATAGACTGGCAGATCGCAGTCACACATAAGCGAGCAGGTTTCATTTTCGGGCTCTCCAACATTTTATTACTGCATTTACTAAACACACGATTCAGTTAGATAGGTTTTTGTTGCGAAAGAAATAGTTAAAATTTCACGCATTTTCAAGCATTTCATCCAAAATATAAGCACTTTTCAAACCTTGAAAACACAACGTCAAAATTCAAGCATTTTAAAGGATTTCCAGCACCCTTACGAACCCTGATTGATGAGAACAACCCGTTGTTTTTCAAACCGTGTCTGTGCTTCCTTATTGTCCTTTCTCCAGCGTCGCACAGCTTTGTCATCACGCGTTCAAAACCCCGCCAGCTTTGCATCCAGAAATTCAAAACACATCTCTGCATTGTGATTGGCCAGCCAGTTATGATGTCATGATAATATAATATCACGACGAAAGTATCTTGACACATATAGTATCGAAACACCCACTCCATTACTCACCCCTAGAGGCAGCATAACAAGAAAAAAAAGAGAGAGGTGTCTACTATCCGACAACAATAGAGTCGCAGTAAACTAGACTGAAACATCCGACGCATTAAGGGGAATCAGAACGAAACCCACAGAAACCTAAACCTCTTTAAAGCAACACATTCTGAATATTAAAACAGCCGATAGTTTAAAAGTCATTTCACCTCAACAGGAACCTTTTCTCACAGGTCACAGATGTGAACAGAAAAAAAGGGAAGAGAGCCGATCAGGCTTTAACACAAAACAACACTTCCTGAGACACGCATGTAGAATAAAAGCTGTATGCAGAACGGAAGGGTGAACCATGCGCACTATCATTTCCTGTGGCTTTCTGCTTCTGTCTTTCTGAGCATGAAATAGAAGTGAAAGATGAGTGAAGGGGACATCATGGTGGTAAAGCTATGCTTCAAAAACCACAAACCACCCTAACCGCATGCATAGTGAGCTCAAGCAATCTCTTTTATGTGATCTCTCTTTTATATGATAACATCTTCTAGTACAGCAGTTATTTAGGCATTTAATGGTTTATTTACTGCTAGCAGAGACGATTAGCCTTAAAACAGACGGACTAATCAGGCAATCTGTCAGTCAGCAGCTCGCAGAGTAAGACGATCTGCCAACTGGCCACTTGTCTTGGTGTAAAGCAGCCTGCCAACCATGAGCAGAACATCGTCATTTTTAACAGCCATTTAATCTCTTGGTGAAATCCTCTGCTCAGTTGTGCACCTATTGATTGGGCTTTCTGACATTCTCACACTCTGAAGCTACCGTTATGCTCAGAGAGTTAAAAAAAGAGCAGATCTGCCTTTTATCCTGACTTCTGTGAAAAAATAAGACATATTTTTTTTTCCAATGTTAGAAAAATGTTTATTACTGTGCTATGATGAGAGAGGGAAAATAAGGGTCTGCTTACTTTCAGGCATTCTGCAGTGAGGACTGATTCACAGCCCCAGCTGATGCCGGTAATTAATCTGTCTCCTCCTTTTGTTGCTGAACTCACATCTGTAATCTCGTTCCTATTTCTGTTCCTCGTCCTTCCAAGAGACTTCTCAATTACTGCCTCAAACTTCATAGATTTCTCTCTCTGTTTAAGCCCTTCCAGTCGTACACTATTCTTCTGCTGTCCTCCCTCTTCTGTGACAGATTTTCTAATTTCTCTTCCCAACAGCCTTGTTCCCAGCTCTACATCTGGACACTGTAAATAACACGTTTCCTGCTATTTTTATCCAGAGTCGATCTCTGTATAAGTGTTACTCCGTAACTGTAAGCAACATTATTTTAAATAGGACCTCATAAGGCCCATCATACAGAGCCTGTATTTATAGAGCAACATTTCTGGAGGTAGTGTGCATCATCAGTCAAGCAGTGCAGAAAGTCGATTCAAATGACAAGAAGCAGATACAGGGTCCTACAGGGAAGAAGTTGTTAAAATGTCGTCAAGAAAGGCGAAACAAGATCTAAGAGCAAGTGTTGGCCTGGTGGTTAGAGCAGTGCGCTTGTGCTAGAGAAGGTTGTAAGCACCCGGTTCAATCCCCACAGCCCCCACTCTGGCTCTCTAAGCAAGACCCTTAACCCCACACTGCTCCCCAGGCAGTGGCAGCCCCGTGCTCCCCAAGGGGATGGGTTAAATGTAGAGAATTAATTTCTCCATTGTATTTCTATATGTATAATGTCTTAACTATTTAGCCGGAAAATCAAAATTCTGACTTTTTCAACCTAAATATTATTATATATATTACTTTTTTTAACTGTAAGCATGTAGATGTTTCACTCCAGGGTTTATTCGCTTTCATGAAATTAAAAGCATGCTTGTTCAGAGTCCACTGGAGCAGGATTTAAGAGGGTTCCTTTTTATTTTATTTCAGTGGAGGGTAGGGGTGGAACGGTTCACAAAATCCACAGTTCAATTCGGC